AAAAGAAAAAGAAAGGGTGTTGTATCGGACAGACAAAGCTTCCTGGGTGCTCCAACAGGGCTGCTGAGGAAAGCTTACCCTAATACTAATACAAAGGGTGGTTTTCTGATCTGTGCAAATATGAAGTCAAAAGGCCTCTGGGGAAGGGCAGCCACCAGTCCCACCAGCCAGGGGACATCACTTCAAGGACAGGACCCCAGTCAAGTCCATGACTATGCCCCAGACTTCAGTTCTGGTTTCGGCAGGACCCATCCAGACCTCCAGAGGTCTGAGAAAGCTCCCGTGTTGCACACAACACACTGAGTAAGGTTGAAAGCGGACTTACCAGGGAGGCCTAATCCCAAAGATCCTCTGCCACTGTAAACCTCTTGCATGGGAAGCTAGCATATTGGCCTCAAGCTCTCTTCATGTTGCCAAGTGAGTTGAATGACTATACCAGCCCAATTAAAGTGATGCCTTTGGAGCACGGCAAGGAAACCCCTGTGACTAACCAGAAATGCCTTTGAACGTCTATAGACTTGGCAGTTCTAGCTGGTGTGGCCGAGCCCCACGTTGACAGTTTGCTCCATTAGAAAGTGATCCCTGATGATAATGACGTCACCGCAACCTGGACAAAAAAGTTCTTTCAATGACCTCCTAGTTATTTCTGCCAAAAACTTGCACTATTTGTGCTCAGAATGGAACTCTTGGGAATGATCAACAAAAGCATTGGCAGGCCCTTAGAATGACCCTAATTTTTTATGCCCAAATATGACTCTTTGGGCATGTCAGATTATTGACAGTGCTCCATTTCAGGCAATGAGTTAGCATCTGCTGCCTAGGTGAACAGCCAGGCCCTACTGTTTATCTTGTCAGGCACGGGCTGAGGTCCATGGTGGAATGTGATGACACAGCTCCTCATCCTGGAAGATGGTTGTATCTCCCTTTAGCCCCCCAGGCCTGATCCCTAGAGCCCATCTCCTTCATATGATGGAGAGAAATAGAGGGAAACTTGGGAGAGGACCCCCAACCCCAGTGAGTTGGTCCCATTGTGTACGATTCCTATGGTCGGAAGAGATGGCTGTAGAGATTGGGAGCTAATAGATGAAATTCCTCTCTCATTTTGGTATCTTATAAATGATCAGCTTGGTGTGTTAGAACTTGAAAGATTTTCGCAGCTGCCTGAAACTTCAACACACCCACTGCCTACTTGCCATCAGGAATTGGGTCGAAGTGCAAGGAAAGTCAGGAGCACTTCCGGCTCTTTGCTTTTTTCCCCTCAGTCCATTCTATGTGACTTCACACCAGATGGCCATCCTTAGCTAGGACCCACCAGAAGACCTTGCCAGGCTCCAATTACAAGGGCCAGGAGGCTGGCCACCCCAACCCCATCTCTACAAGGGCTTTACACAGGCAGAGCTGGGAAATGCCATCTTAGCCATCCTTGTGTTCTCAGGTGAGGCTATTCTTGAAAAATCTGGTGGATCTTCTGATGCACAGGGCTTGAGATTAAGAGTCCACGCAGGTGTCCAGGTGATGAATACCCACCCAGCAGGAAGCCACTGCCACTTACGTGGTGTGCCCAAAAGCAGGGACAATACTTCCTGAACTTAGCAGAGAACTTGTCAGGCTGACCTTCGCCTATTTCATTTTGTCTTCATCTTCTCATCGTCTTCTCTACCAAGAGCCCACATCTCTGCCAGAGGGCTGGGCCCAGCGAGGGGTTTCAGTGTTCAGTGGTTTGGGGACTGAGAACATGGAAATGTGTCCACAGGGCTCAGTTTTCCTGAGCAAACCCCTTACAGCCACGGCCTTGGTCCCTAGACGATGGTGATGTCAGCAGCTTCCCTCTCCTGCCTGCCTGCTGCTGGGTACTTTTTATGCCCCAGGGCCAGAGGCTGGGGAAGGAGATGAGAATAGCAAAAAGTCATAACCAGAGCTCTCCCCCAAGATATTCCTGTGACTTTGGCCCTATCTTAACGGGGCACTGTCCTCTATCTGTGGTTCAAAAACTATGTTTTTTCACAAACTGTTCTGATCAAATATACCCCTTCATAGAGATTCTGTGTATTAGCCCAACCAGAACCCTGAAAAGACAGAGAAAGGAAGGCTGCCTCACAGAAGGTCACCCAAGGTTTTCCTAACACATTTGTACATGGACCTGTTTCACAGTCCATGGCGGGCCTGGCTTTCAGCACCAATGCGGTTATTACTGGCACCAATATACTCTTGAACAGCCAGTAAATATCCCCAGCCCCTCCCTCTCAGACTTGTCTCAATCTAGTACCTGTACCTGCACTGTTCAAGATGGTAGCCACAGGCCAAATGTGGTGATTTAAACCTTAGTTAAATTTATCATTCAAACTGGCCACATTTCAAGTGCTCAGCCTGCAGAACCACGCCGGCACCTACTATATTGGACTATGTTTTCCTCACCACGGAAGTTGCACAGCAAGTACTGCCTCGCACAGCAGGCTGTGGGACCTTTAGGGAGCCAACGTCTGTTTTAATTGCTGTGACTGTGCTGTATCAACTGTTAACTTTTTGGACTAGCACCTGAATACACATGCATTAGAGTTTGGCAGGACATCTAGTCTATGGCACATTCCTCAGAAAAACTTAAAACCTAATACTCCCTAGGTCCCAGGAATCCTAATTCAGCCCAGAGCCCTGGCGGTCAAGCCACAGACAAGTGGCTGTGTTTGCACAAGCATATCCCGAGCAGTGACTGTCTCCTGCCATCTCCTCCATGAACCTAATTCAAAGGACTTTGCAATAGGATTTTGCTGACCCCAAAGTCAAGCTCAGGGAGAATGCCGAGAAGGAGCCCATCAAAATGTTTTTATAAAAGGTAAAACCATGGCGTTTCTAAATAAAAAGCCACACCCCCTTATAAACAATGTTTTATAAAAAGACAATGTATATATTTACACACATTTACATATATGGTCACATATGACTTAGTGGTTAGATGGCGTTTCCAATTGTAAAAGTCACACCAAGACGCTCATACTTCCC